AAAAAGAGTGAAATACGACAGAGAAAATCGAATGTGTCGCTGAGCTGGATGTCGAACTTCAAAGAAAAGCATGTTCAACATAACGATAGTCAAATGCGACAAGTACTGTAAACAAGATGTACCATACCCGTGTTAGAGGAATGCCTTCTCGTTACATTTTCACAAGCGGCATCAGGTGCGTTTGCATATGATGCTCCTATTGCAATTAATCTTATTTGGCAATTACGATATATCAGGGTTAGTCATGGGAATATGCTACCATCAACAATTTGGGGCAGGAGGCCATATATCAAACATGAAAAAAAGACTGAAAGGAAGATTTAGGGTTCTCCTTAACCCTCAACTGGCATCCTTGTTTGTATCATGGGTATCATGGGGTTATAATGCTTCCAGCAATAAAAATCTCAATGAAATGTAGATTTTTTAGGTAAAAGTAATTTATCGTGGCAGTTTCCTCGCTAACTTCACTGCAGTGAAGCAGCATGGTGAAAGCATATTCCTAGGACTAACCCTGACATATCGATGATCGCCAAATAATATCAATTGCATAGCATCATATATAAATGCATCTGAAGCCGCTCGTTGTAAAAATGCAACGAGAAGGCATTATTCCTAATACGTGTATGGTACACCTTCAATACCTGTCGCATTTCACTTTCCTTATATCGTTTTTGATGCTTTCAAGCAGCTCAGAGGCACATTTGACTCTCCTTGTCTCATTTCACTTTCTTTTTTCCACATTTGACTCAGAATACCTATAAAAAGGTATCAAATCTGCTCTCATTCATGACACCCGATTCCGCCGGCAAATCAGAGGGAATGGGCACAACGAGAAATCTTTCTTGCCCCAGGGGTTGGCAGTTTCGCATCTCATTCCGTGGTTTTATGTTACACCCGTTGTCCTTTGAGCGGTTGTGTCTGGCAATCATGGTTTACTTTTTATTACGACCTGTTTCATTTCCATTAAATCTCCCTGTCGTGCTGTGACTGAATGAATTCTTGAACGCAGCGAACATGAGTTTTCGGAATTAGTCTCCTGAGTCTGATGCCCTTTTCATTTACTGCTGAAAATAATGTAAAACTTCAAGTCTTAAAGGTCTCCTCGTCTCAGGAGTAAAGCACTGAAGATCATTTCCAGTTCTTGCAAATGCATTAAACTGTCGATGTTCGTGGATAATTTCATCGTGAGGGCAAGCATGAATTTGAATAGATCGATAAGGTATTTCTTATCGACACTAAGAATCTTTTAGCGGCATCGGCATAAGACTGAACGATCGAGGCATCGAAGTGGCAATTGGTGGGGAACACCCATTGCGATTCGTTAGAAATATGCCGCAGGAGGCTGATTAACGAGATAATAGAACCAATTGACATTCCATTAGGGGTAATCGATAAGGCTTGAATAGGTGATTCATGTCCGAGTCCCGAAGAGCCTCCTGCCATATCTGGAAGAAAATCACAGTCACGTGCGAAAGATAATATTTTTTCTCTGACTAGAGTTAGAAGTTCCGATAACGAAAAGTGGAGCTTGGTGACTGGAACATAAAAGAACACGATGAAATCTAGGTAAGGTTATCTTGGCATTTATTTCTTCGTTTCGAAGAAAAAAGGAGAGGGTTTCGAAATGAGGTTCTCGGATAAGGGAAGAGAGAAATCCTATCGATGGGAAAGCCACTTTAATTCATGCTTAAATGCTTCATCGCCCGGGATTGAAGGGGGAGTAAAGGGGATTGAAGGGGGAGTAAAGGAGGAATGTTGATTCCCTTCCACGACGTTGTGGAATGATGGATCCCTCGGGGTAAAAATCACTTTCTCTTCCGCTACGATGAGTTCGGATCCCATCGAAAAGTTTCCAGTCACACCAGCTGCTCGGATTTCCACTTCCCCATCCCCAGTAATCCATTTGGAACCGCCCATCCACGAATTCCGATATTAGCCCACGTGAAGTTCTCTCCCTTTGAAGAATGCAGACAACCGGGAATATGGCCGACGCGATAACCCAGTCTTCGAAGTCGGCTTTACTATCAGAAGAAAACTACCCTACAGAAGAAATGAAAATGAGATCGGAGGAAACTTGCTTCGCTCCTCTCCTCATATGCTGCACAAGAATGAAAGAAATCTGGGCCTCTCGTTTGGTGAGTCTCACATGTCTGTTATCCAGAACGTTATGCCTGAAGCATCGTCACATACAACTTGATCGTGTCACCTATTAGAACATGGTGAGGAAGGAGTCCTGACGGAACACTACCCCAGGTCTGACGCTGAAAATTCTGGACACAAGTTCTTTGGCCTGGTATGCCATGAACGAAGGGGAAAAGGAATCAGTTTCATGACCTTCCTTTCCTGACAGCGTCTATAATTTGATTGACCTTTTGATGGTCAAAGGACAAAAACAGATTTCCATATCTTTCGCATGAGCTACCGGCCTATGAAGTATATTATGGGTGTATCAAAAGGAAAAGTTCCCTTTGCTTTCCTATGGGAAATCGAGTCTCAGTATACCTCGTAACTGTCACACATTAATATGTGCAATATTACTATCAATAATTCGAAACATCTGATATCCCCCCCCCCCCATCCATCCTTCGGGACCACAATCGAATCAAACGCCACAATCCAGAAACCCAGAAATTCCTGGGTTACCTCTGCATCTCGAATTTCATAACTTGATGGTCCTGTGCCTTACATGACCTGATTCAGCGGTAAAAAAACAATCACCGTTCCGTGAATGAACTTGTTGACATGAAATGCACAGTGAGGTTCCTTTTTATTGAAAAAGGCAGCTTTTTTCCTGTAGAAAAAAAATACAGTGAAGACTCCCCAGCCACACAGTCCCTTAAATACATAACTCAAATAACTCGGTACTGACTTCATGACATTGCAATCGCATTGACGTCTATGCACACAGCACACAGCATCTAAATGTGTCGACGGAAGGGAGAAGAGGATCATGGGTGGATACATTTCTATAGACACTTCTAGGGCACCTTGGACGATATCAAATAGGTCATATATAACATTTATCGTGTATGGGGTTCCGCCTTTTTGTTTAGGTGAAGCAAGGAATAAAGCTGTACGCCAGTGGACATTGCAACAGTGCAGTGAAGCGATGGGAAAAGGCCTTGCCCTTGACTCAGGACACACGAGCCAAAAGTCGTCTGCTCCATCTCCTATGCAGTGCTTTCCTGCGCTGGGGACTCTACAGGTTCGTGGATACGCCTTCTTCCCAAGGGTATCTAGTCCATGGGCTTGAGAGGGAGGGGGATACGGGAGGAGAGAAGCAGGAGGAGGAATATAAACTTGAATAGAGAGAAGAGAGGAGACCGGATCTGGGCTAAGCGATCACTGGCTCGAACCTATAGCCACTTCAGCTTCGCTCATCTTGTGCGCGTCGTACGGCATGACAAAACAGCCTTTAAAAAAATGATATACGTAAGACGACAGATATGCTATAAGTCACTGCAATGAGAAGGTTATGTTACTGTACTACTTCGGAAACAGGGCCGTATCTAGGATTTAATTTTTTTTTTTTTTGGGGGGGGGGGGGGGGGGGGGGGGGGGGGGGGGG